AGAATTTCGACTAGAATGGGGATGTTAATCGATTTGCTTGGGACCAATAGGCTAGTCAAATAGTGAGCCAATTTAAAATCGTTAGTTTCGTATTGATTGTTAATTTGTTTTAAAACTGCAGGAACATATTCCTTAATCCGGTCACTAACTTCTGATTAGTTTATCAGGCAATACACGGGTGAAATCGTCAATTAGAGTTAAACATAGTGACATCCCCTCGGTGTTGGTGTTCGCATAGGGCCGCATACGTTCGAGTGAATAAGATCCAGCACCTGGCTTGACGTGCGTTTGGACCTTTTTGGGAACAGAGCTTACCGAAAATATCATATCAAGAAGACTGGCAACTTTGCCAGAATCCAAGCGACAGATACAGTAGCGCTGCACTTGAGCGATGGTGGAAGCAACGCATAGAAAAATGAGCAAATACACAAACCTTTCTTCTGCGGATCTAATCTTTGCTATCAAATTCGTTCGAAGCATTTACCTTTGAGCGGCAGATGACGCGATTGAACCTGCCTCATAGCGGTCGTACGAGAAAATGGAAGAGTTGCCAGTCTTCTTGATATGTTGTCTTCGCTTCTAGACAACATTCGCACACGGCACGGTAGCTACAGTCTATAATATTGATTGGTCTCTTCCAGTTGCCAATTCCTTGGTCTCGAGCTCTCGAACGGCATCATGATCACGGTGTCCTAAGATGCGGTGCCACGTGTGTTGACAACTTGATGTGTGCTTGTGCTCTCTTGACGCTAACCGCTTCGTGAGCAATAGGCAAGTAGTACAACCCACCAGAAGATGTAGCACGACCGACGAGTTTCTCACCTTTCAAAATACGGCATCCATTGGCATCGAAGACTATAGTAGCACCGAGAGGGCTCAAAGGGTTCGACTCCAAATCCGGCACGTACAACACATCTGTGAGGGCTACTTTGAAGTGTTCACCCTCGGGAGAAAGGAATGTCAGATAAAACAATCCGATTCCTTTTGCAGACGCTTTTTTGCCGTCCGCCAAAATGGCTTCCTTCTGCACGCTCTCATCAAAATTCTCAAACAAATCCAAATTCGCACACATATGGGAGGTTGCTTACCCATGCTTTTTTCAGATTGTTCCTACTCCTTGCCTCAAACGAGTATTCCAGTTCCGATTTGCACCGGATTGCTCGACGAACCGCTTTCACCCTGAGCACTACACTTGCTCTGGCTTTCTGCTTGTTTCATCGTTGCGCGATAATCTTTTTGTTTATGGCAATATCCTGATTCACCACGTGCTCCGGAACAGCGCTTCGACACCTCGTCCACTAGCTTGAATTTAATCAATTCTACACCCAACCGGTGGATGTAAGATTCGCTTACAATTATGTGGGATTCATCATCAGAGGATGTAAGTGGAGACCGCATGAACCGAGGATGCGATATACCTAGCTGCGGTCCGATGTAAAGGGTGTCCACGATGAAATTGCTCTAACTTTTTAACCGTTGGGTAGAATTTAATGAAAATTTGGGTGGATTTAGTTCATAGTGCATTATTTACATCCTGCAAGTTTTAAAGTCCTGTGATCAAAACTCGCGGAAATGGAGTCGAAAGAACAGCTCGTGCGTGATAAAATCTTGCGCATTCATCACGAGAACAAGGATCTCTCGCATCGTTCCATCGCTAAAACGTTGGGAATCGCGAATTCCACGGTGTCGCGAGTGATTAAGCGGTTCGAGGAACGGTTGACCACCGATCGGAAGCCCAGAAGTGAAGGAAAAAGTATTCCGTACGACACCAAAAATCACAACCGCGTAGTTGGGGCCTTCAACCGAAATCCGAACGCCTCCGTTAGGGATGTGGCTAAGAAGCTGCACCTAAGCCGAAGTTTTGTCCAGAAGGCCAAAACTAAGGCTGGGCTTCGAACGTTCAAGGTACAAAAGGCCCCTAATCGCGACGAGAAGCAGAACAAGTCCGCCAAAACCCGTGCCAGGAAGTTGTACCTCAACATGCTGACGAAACATATGTGAAGGCCGACTTCAAACAGATCCCCGGCAACCTGTTTTTCACGGCCAAGGATAAGTTCAGCGTTCCGGAGCATGTCCGCACTCAGAAGATGTCCAAATTTGCGAAGAAATTCCTGGTTTGGCAAGCCATCTGCACGTGCGGGAAGCGGAGTGCACCTTTCGTGACCCAGGACACGATGAACGGACAGGTGTACATAAAAGAGTGCCTCCAGAAGCGGCTGCTTCCTCTCCTGAAGGCCCACAACGTCCCAACAATCTTCTGGCCGGATTTGGCCTCATGCCACTACTCCAAGGACGTGCTGAAGTGGTATGCGGACAATAAGGTCAATTTCGTGCCGAAAATGTTCAACCCTCCTAACACTCCGGAGCTCCACCCCATCGAGAAGTACTGGGTGATTATGAAGCAGCACCTTCTTAAACGACCTAAGGTAGTGAAGACAGTCGAGGAACTGTAGAAAGTATGGGTTTACATGCAAAAAACGGTTGATTCACAGGTTGTGCAGAATCTTATGGCCGGGGTTAAGGCCAAGGTGCGGGCATTTGCGTATGGACTGTAAATAAAATACGAGTAAAATGGTAAAATGAAGTTTAATAGTTATTTCTCAATCCCTGAAAATTTGATGGCAATCGGATGAAAACTCGAATTTTGCGAATCAATTTTGTGTGTGGCAATTTCATCGTGGACACCCTTTAAGAAAATTGGAGACCGAAAAATGTGGAGTTGTATTAGTGAATGAAATTAATTATGTCGAAAAAAATAGAAAAAAGGTTGGCGACTGGACTCGAACCACGGACGTTGCGACTATCAGACCTGTGCTTTCTCCACTGCTCTCTCCATGCTTGTGAATATGGTCAGCCTAAAAGCAAACATGAAGCGCTCATTTTCTCGCATGCTCGACTTCGTATGCTTTTTCTGCTGGAGAGATTCGAGATAAGTGTGTGCGTCGTTCTACAATGTTCTACAATGTGCGTCGTTCTACAAGCTTACTGGTATAGTCGAAAGCGTAGATGGAACACGAAATAAAAAAAGACAAAAAACCATTACATCGCCTGCATGGTCAATTCCTAACATTCGTTGCGATGTTCATGAACAGAGGATGATAGGAACTGGAACTAACATTCATTGTAATAGATTTTTGGTTTGCGTGTAGAGTGAGCTCATCGTTTGCTCTGCTCTCCAGCGCCGTAGTTAAAGTGTTGAAAGATTCCGAAGCTACGGAGTATCATGGTCACCTGGAGACTTTGGTTTAATTCCTGGCCCGCCACCGTCAGCCGCTCGAAAAGCTCCTCGCCATCAGAATATCTTTTATCGCAAATCCTCTTGAGTAGCGACACCTTCGAGGTTAGTTTTGCCTTCTCATAGTGCCTCTCAACAAGTCCCATGTCTCCTTTGCCGTTTTGGACTCTTTGATAAGGTTTAACTGGCTGTCCTCAAGCAAAGGCCAATTGTCGCACGCGCCTTCTGGTCTCCGCTGTCCCACGCTTCAACTGCTGCTACATAGGCTGGTCTAGGTTGTGCACCGAGCTCTGGTCGTTTCTCGGTTACGTATTTCCAGAGGTCGCCCGGATCAGCAGGAATTCTACTTTCGGTTTTCCAGGTTGAATAATTGGATCCATTAAGCTTGATAATGCCCAATAGTTCTATTTCGCTTTGATAGGGGAAATGGATGTAAAGTCGGCTCAAATGCCCCTAATTTAGGCCCATACATAAATTCAGCAATCGACTAAATTTTCAATAGTGACCAAAAATATCCATTAGTACCGTCCCAATAGCGCGTTCATCTAGTTAAAATTGGTAAATAGCAGATTTTTAGCGATGAGTCCAGTCTTAGATCCATAGGCCAACATTAGAGCCATTTACCTTATTTGAAAACGGAAAAATTCTTGAAACATGAACTTTTTTTTTTTTATTTTGGTTTGTTTTTTCCGTTGATCTTGTTTTCCGTGCTGAGCACCAATGCTACCGACGTGCCAGGAAGGCGCTCCCACACCTGGACCCTACCTATCGACCCATCAACTCATGAACCGGGGACCAACGGCTTTACTTCCCATCCGAAGGAAGGCGTGATCAGAGATGTTATGCCTCAGAACATCCCGGCGGCGCCGACTGGGATTGAACCCAGGCCTGCTGGGGTGAGAGGTAATCACGCTTACCACTACACCACCGGCGACGTTGAAACATGAACTTGAAAATTTTCACTCTTGTTTTTCGGTTGCTACGGTATCGCTCCAATTAAGCAAAGGCCCTTGGAAGGATGAATAAAGACAACCGTAGTATTTCGAGTGACTAATGTAAACTAATGTAATGTTATTAATATCAATTTATTATCTAGACTGTTGTGATTGGACTCTTCAGTCGAGTTGCTTCAGCTTTCTTTTTCAGATTCCATATAGGGGAAATTGCTCTAATGTTGGCCTATAGATCTAAGATTGGGCCCATCGCTAAAAATCTGCTATTTACCTTTTTATCTAGATAAACGCGTTATTGGGACGGTACTAATGGATATTTTTGATTGCTATTAAAAATTTAGTCGATTGCTGAATTTTGTGTATGGGCCCAAATTAGGAGCATTTAAGTCGACATTACATCCATTTCCCCTAGGTATTTATTTGATTTTCTTCTTATTTTTCAATTTGTTTTTTTCATATAAAGATGGTAAGAGGAAAAATTCGATCGCGGATAAAACGAATTATGAAACTGCTACTGATTATTCTGTCTATAATCCCATATCAGTCCCATATGGATAAAACAGGCTGATATGCGATTATAGGCAGTACAGTTCAACGTTAGGCCGTCACCGAGAGCGGTAGCGCTGTTATCTGTATTCGAAATTTTGCAAGAAAGAAGGATTTTTTTTTCTTCTGTTTTGGCTCTCTTTATATCCAAATTTAATATGTGTAGGGAGCCCAGCCATAGGTATAGGCATATCCAGTTACGTAAAACAAGAACTAGAGAAAAACCTACAGATTATATCTAATTTTCTTCCAATCCTTCCCTACAGTACTGGATCAACGAGTACACAACCTCGATCGGACTAGGAGTGTTCCACTCGGGTGTGGAAATATTCGGAACCGAGTTCGCCTACGGAGGTCATCCGTTCCCGTTCACCGGTGTGTTCGAGATATCCCCACGGGACCATGACGAACTTGGTGAACAGTTTCGATTTAGGTAAAATTGCTATTAACTAAAAAATTCATAAAAATATAACGGTGTTATTTTACAGACAAAGTATACAAATTGGCTGCACAGATTTCACCGAGGAAGATGTCCGTCGAATTGTGGAAGAGCTAGGGAATCAGTTTCGAGGTGATCGGTATCATCTGATGAACAACAATTGCAACCATTTCACCGGCGCAGTCACTCAGGTAAGCACTTGGACTTATTTTTTTTTTAATTTCATTGATCAAATAAAACACTTGTGCACTTTTCTTCGCAGATTCTCTGCGGGCAAGAGATTCCAAGTTGGGTGAATCGACTGGCTCACTTCAGCTCCTGCGTACCTTTTCTGCAGCGCTGTTTACCAAAGTAAGTCATATTTTACTGATGGATAGGAATTGATTGATTTTTTTATTGAATTACTATCTTCCAGAGAATGGTTGACTCCTAATGCCTTACAACAATCGATAACAGCCATACAGGATCGTGACTCGGATTCCAGTCCATTTTGAGAATAGCTAGTAGATAGTGTTCATGTTTCTGACGGCGGCACGCCACACTTTGTCACCGAGGGAAAGAACAATAGTAAAAACAATAACAACAACAACAACAACGCTAGAGACAACAAATAATATTAAAAGATTTCAACCAAACTCCAGTATCGAATGAATGGTTATAGGAAGGATATCTCGGTGACAGTTGGAAACGTGAATTCTGAACGAATTTTCTCATTTTTTTGGTTTGTTTCTCGATAACCCGCCAAGTTGTAGGTGTTATTATATTTATAATATTCGTTTTTTGTAACGTGTCGGTTTCCTCTTATTGTCTTTGTCAATAAACCAAATCAACTATTGAGGCAAATCAATGTCCAATTGTGAACACTAGGCTAGGTACGTGTTTTTAGAACTTACTTGAAAATTTTCCCCATCTTGTCACAAAGCTCCATTTTCTTTCAACCTACCTTAATAAGCAGAGAAATATCGTTTTGTCATCATTATTTTTTTTAACGAAATGATATTACAGCAACTGGATTTCTAAAGAACAATGAAAATAAGCGAAAATTAAAAACAAAAAACGTGTAATATATATCTTTAACTTAGACGACAGTGGAGAAGAAAGTATTCGTTTCAAATTGAACTTAAAAATAAAGAAAATAGAACGTAAGCAACAGCAAGAGTAAAGAAGTATGTAATTATAAATACTTATTAAAGAAAATAAAGCATAATGAACAAAGTCTATATTGAAGTAAACATAAAAAAATCAGTTGAAACGCGAAATATTTAAACACTGTTTGAACGGCAACTAATACTAACTGAATAGAGAGATACTGAGATGCACTAGAGTAGATGGAATTAATTAAAACAAGAAGAAACTCTCATTAGTGTATGTTAAACTAAAACAAAATAATAAGTTCTGGAGAGTTTATTTGAGATGATTGCGAATGATCATACACAGTTGAAGTTTAATTATGACAATGAATGACAAAAGTCGACATTAAAACCCAAAATGCTCCACTGAATGGAACAATAAAATACCAACAACATCACCAAGCGAACAACAAAACACGAGTATTTACGGTTAAAAATAATGCAAGTGAGGTTATGTTTGTAGGGTCGTTCCGATCGATTGATAGACGTGAATATTTTAGACAAATCTCGTAGATTGTGAATTTTGGCGTACGCAGAAAGTAGAGGAAAGGTCAAACAAATTGTTTGCTCCATTTTTTTTATTAGTAGATTTTTTTTTTCGAAATCAAGAACCTTTTGTATAGCGTTTCGTAAACCTACTTGCCCGATTTTTTGTCGAAACAGAAATAAATGACCTACTATAAAATAAAATCCAGAATAAGCAATTTATTTTTTAAATCGCACGATTTACAAACGAAAATTCTAACCCGTTAAACAGGTGGACAGCAGCAGAAGAAAACAGAGCAACAAAAAAAAATACATCCAATAGTATTCAATAAGACTTAAAACGTGGTTAAACGGGAAAAGGTTGAGTTGACAAGAAAGAACGGAAAAGGAGTACATCAGTTTTTGTATAAAAAATTATCCCATACGAACAGAGAGAACAAAACAAATCAATGCCATTTTTCCTCCAACTTCTGTTTTTACTACTGAATAAAACCAGTGAATAAAGATATTATTGACAACTAAAAACATTGAACCTCATCTGATAATTGAGATTGTCCGTTTGGGACCTTGGGGTGTAAACGTTATTATAATGTATCGAACAGTTGCGCCGCGAGGGAGGTGAGGTGACTTACGGTTTTCCATAGCTCATACAAAGTTTCCTAAACTTCTAGGAAGTTCACTGAATTTCTAACAAGTTGCTGAACTTGTACGAATTTCCTATACGTTATACAATGTGCCCTGTTTTACGAATTACCTATTATAAGTTATACAAATCTCCTCAATTTCCACAAAGTTCCCAGAACTTCGTCCAAGTTCAATTTATTTTTCAAGATCTTAGGATATTACTGAACATCTGGGAAGTTCCCAGAAATTAAAAGAGTTCCAAAAACTTCATTGGGTTTTTTTAGCTCCCAGAAAAACTGATACGAAGATCCCTGAGGGACCCTGACTGATGTTCTTAGAAGTTTGCTGAACTTTTACGAAATGTCCTAATCATTCATGAAATTTCCTGAACTTCTACGAGCTTTGCTAAGCTTTTAGAAAATTTTCCACACTTTTTGAACTTTAAAAAAATTGCTCGACTTCTATGAAGTTTAACGAAGTTCCTCCAATCGCTACGGAAATAGCTATACTTAAAAAAAAAAAGTTCACTGCTCTTCCCACATTAGATCCGTTTGCGTTGCGTTCACATGAATTTGACAGTTAGACAATATATTTAGGTGGACAATGTGGGTAGACCTTAATTGTAAGGCCCCGCTATTTATACCCTTCGAAGAGTGAGAGCACCCTCCAAAGGCGCGCCCCTTCGTCAGTCAGAATTGGATTCCATAGCAACAAAATTAAGCAATGACACCGATAATGACCATGCATCAGAACCCTAGTCTTAACTGCTTCAAACTAGGGAACAACGAATAGATTATGCTCGGTTCAAACAACCCGAGGACTTATCACCATTAACAAGGCTAAAAAGTAACAAGGACTAATATGTGTTTCTTTGATTACTGAAAAATCCTGTTCCATCTAGTTTGAAGTAGTCAGAACTAGGAATCGGTGGTAGATCTTACATCCCGTAACGTACCACGAAAAGGTGATCTACCCACGGGACAACGAAAATTTTATTTGGGATAAATGTGATTGTGAGTGTTAGGTCTGTTTGTCTGTGATGTAGTGTGCATGTTTAGTGAACATTGCCAAGCTGTGTCACTTTTTCTCGAGTGATGGAATCGGTGCACTCGTATACGTCATACTGCACAATATTTCGTGCTGCCCAGCACACAATTGCTGTTTGATCGTGCTCTAGAGATTTTCAAGTCCGGTTGTATTGGTGCGATATGCATGTGTGAGCGTTAGACTGATGCAAAATTTGACTTTTTCGCTCCACAGTGCTTAAATGGTTTCAAATCGGGTCCTGATTAGCCTCTCAAAGTTACAACTCATTTGGTTAGAAACAGACTTCGCACAAGCCATTTGAAGTTTACATGTAAATTACCATGAGAAATCTCAACATTTTGTTCATTGCCTTCTAGTCTTTTTCCATATTGAGCTGCGAAGCAGTTCGATAGCTATTCTTATAGAAAATTTTCTCAGCTACAACTTCGCCGAAGATTGTTTCTATGTAAAACGAGACAGGAAAATGTTATTAATTATTTAAGAGATTGGTAAACTTATGACATGATCATGCAGCTGCTCTGTAGGCAGCACTGTATTTTGCAGTGTGACATAGTAGCCATGATTTGTGTGTCCTATTCAACACCCCAGAAACACCAATGTTGCCTGCTGAGCAGTTGATTGAGCATAATCATAAGACATCAGCGCATTGAACCATTGATAACTTTCGATCCTTGCATTTAATTAAAAAGTCTTCAGCAAAGTTGTAGCTGGGAAAATTTCCTACAAGTACAGTTGAAAATTTTTGAAGCAGACCGATATGGTGAATTATTAGATAGACATGAACAAAAATCATGGTTTTACCATAATAATTCCCATACAAACTTCAAATGGTTTGTGCCATCTCAGTTTCTCACCAAATGGGTTCTAATTTTGAGAGGTTAGTCAGGATCCGATTTGGAATCGTGTAAGTATTGTGGAGCGAAAATTTCAAATTTTGCATCACTCTAGTGAGCGTGTTAGCAAAGATATCTAATTAACAATCAATTACTCGAACAAGAAAATGGATACACCACCCCTTAAGGCCGGCGCACAATAGATACCGGCGCACAATCTATCAAAAAACCCGAAAATGTATCTATTATGCGTTGGCCTTTATGTGATCGCAGTTCCATCTGGTGAGTGCACATTGAAACTGTTGGGAGTCCCCAGCTAACTTCACCACCAGGGCTGTCAGTGTAAAGTGTCAGATGCCAGCGCGGACGTTGATGATCAATCGAGAGAAGAGGATGATATCAACCTCGTTGTTATCATCATTATATTGCGATAACAAGTTTCTCGCTTTTTTGTGATTGCTCCGATTTTCAATCATTGCCACCTTATACGCAACAAAAACACTTTAGAAAACAATCATGATGGGCTTGTAATATGTTTTGCTTTCGAATGAAAGAGTTTTCAATATCACCACCGCTGATACCGGTGATGCAAATCTCTAATAGTAATTGATGATTTGCGAAGCTGTTGTTCTAAATAATCTTTATAAGAAGTAAACATGAAAAAATATTCCCTCTCCATTAAGCATAGAGATTGCTAAAGTGTGATTGTGTCAGTGATTTGTTTTCATCAGGAAAATTTTCCGCTATGAAGTTTTTTTTTTCCTGATGGAAACATTTTGCGTATACGTATACGTGACGTAGTGTGCGTACGATAAACGCCAGCAATCTCTATTATTCCAACACCCTATAGTCACTGGAACTGTAACGTATTGAAATCATTCAAACATTATAAAATATGTCGTCTTCCTTGGCCAACGCAGCACGCACGCAATTTAAAAATCATATTGGAATAATGATTACTTTCATATTTTTAGGAAGGTATTTGTTAGAGTCGGTGTATAATGAGTCACGCCAAGAGAAAAACAGTTGAACTCGCATCACGGTTTTCGAAAGATTCCATTTCTTTTAACTAGGCAACAGAGGATTTCTACATCAACTTCAAATGACTTCTAGCGAAAAAAAATAATAGCGGCTGTAGTAAATCATTATATCATTGAGTTTGTCAAATTATCTTAGCAAAAAATAGTAGAAATTCTCATTACTGATCATTACCAAACGTATCCCATGACAATTGACTTCTCGACACAAGATCTCACTAATCCAACCTAGCGAGCGTAGCCGTGTAAAATCGATTTGTTTATTATTTTCAACCACGAAATTAGCTGTCAAAGTGTTCGACTTGACAGCGGTTTGTTTTTTATTTTCAACCAGTAAAATGCATGTATTAGTGAAACTTCTCACTAATACCACAGACAAACAGACGTAACTCTTTGAAAAACTTGTTCTTGAAAACATGGTATCTCAAAACATATAACCTCAGTAACGACATCTCTCTGGCTTCTCGCGGAAAACAAGCTTGCTCGCTAACTCGTAAACAATATTGCATAAAAGTTCTATAGAATGGATAGAAACGTCAAAGTGATCCGATGCCAGCGCTGCGGCGAGTAGTTCGCGGAACTGATAATATTCAAATCAACCGTTAAATGCATGAACGAAGATACACAATGAAGAGTTACGTCTGTTTGTCTGTGCTAATACTAACGGTGATAGAGAACTCTATTGAATGCTCACTGCGTGTTTATTATTTCATTCGATTATATTTTATATTTTATTGCAATACCTTTCGTGGACCTTTCATAGCATCGTAATGTTTGTTTACTTTGCAAGATAGGTAGCTGGTTTGACAGTTCGATAGGTAGACTTGGCTTCACTCTTGGCGTGGCTCATTATACACCGACTCTAGTATTTGTCAATGCCGGCGAATACAAATGCAAACGGAAGCTACCGAACCTGAATGATGACACCACTTCGTGTTTTGATTTGCGCTGTACCGTCCACTCCCTGGTCTGGGTCTGGGTACCCCATTCTACACTGAACCAAAACATCATCCTTTGATCGAATGATTTTTGCTTCACCCAAGCCCTATTACTATTATCAGATGAGTTTGAGATGATTGTCATTCAGTTCATCATCTGTTAAAACCACAACAACTTGGATGCTTATCATCCTAATCTGGGATGATTTTAGTTCAATGTTTGAAAGCATAGGTGGACGTAAATCTAATGAATATAATAAGTTAAATAAATGCTATTCTTATTTATATTGATTGCTAGTTGTAGCAATATTTTCTGTTGAAAATAGATAATATTTAAGTATTATGTACAATGCATTATTTTATTATAATTATAAGTGCGATATGAAGGTCCCACCAGCTCCGAGAGCATCTTCCAACTGGAGTAAGCATTGAATGTGATTCCTGAGTGCGATCGGCTTCGATTCAGTTGCGCCCTCCGCTCCGCTCTCGCAGGTCGTGATACCCGTCGTTATCGTTGATCCGGGTTATCGAACACCGATCCCGTCTGCAGTGTCTCTAGGAAACTGTCCATGATACCTTCCCGCGCGCCCGCGTCCGAACGGCATCATTGTAGAGCAGCTTTCGTTGCTACCGTTCCTGCATCTCCTGCTGGGAACGTTCAGAAAACTTCTTTCTGTGCACAATTATGTGGCGAACAATCATCTGCACTGCACTGTGGTGTAATTATCTTAAATTGAAACCATATTGATTAATGTAATATAAACCGAAGTATAAACTTATCTAAAACTTACCCATCGTTCAAGATAACAGCCTACAGAAACTCAAAATTCAATTTGAAAAATTAAAGTTACGTACTTTTCGACATGTCTGTCAGATAGCTGTTGATTTTTTGCATTTTCAATCACATTTTTCATACACCAACAGTTCATTAGGAAAATGAATGATTTTCGTTATGGGCCTTTGATGATACATTTATCTCTCAGATTTGAGATTATGTTCGTTTGGTTTGGTACATTCCGGAAACAATATTTAATTCATACAAGTTTAACGTCCGTTATCATCTACTTTAAAAATGATTTTCACTTTATGCTAGGTATACTTTTCACTTGTAGCTGGTTTCATTCGAAAACAAGAAATTGGCATTTGTTAACCCACCGTATGACGAATCATTCGATATATGGCAGGTCTTTTCTTACAGTGAGTCAATATTAGCACTACAATTGGTAATAGCACAGACAAACAGACATAACACTCGCAAGTTGTTCATAGAACAAGCATTTAACGGTTAGTTTAAAAGTATTGTAGTTTGCAGTATTGCCACCTATGGCACGCATAGTCAATTCCCTTGCGTTTGACGTTTACACACTACCGCAACAGATGGCGGTAATGTTTTAGCGACGATGTTTTACAGTGAGAAATATTCAATGATTTATGTCTGTTTGTCTGTGGTAATAGGGTAATAACATAAGTGACGAACCAGCCAGTGGCTGAAAGTCACTCTAATAAAGAAAAAAAAAGAGGGTAATAACATAGAGGTAACTCTTAGACCAGAAGGTCCCGTAGAAACGTGCTCAATTTTTTGGCTCAGCTCTAATATTATCCTCGGTCACAAGCTAATCGATGAAGCCCTCGAAACATAAGAAAATCCATGAACCCCTCATTTTATCTGTCAAACTTTCTTAGTGACTCAAAACAAGTATAGTGTGGTACTAGAATTTCGACTAGAATGGGGTACGTTAATAGATTTGCTTGGGACCAACGAGGGAACCAATAGGCTAGTCAAGTAGTGGGCAAATTTAAAATCGTTAGTTTCCACCGGTTGGTAATAGCATAGAGGTGACTCTAAGACTAGAAGGTCCCGAAATAACGTGCTCAACTTTTTGGCTCAGCTCTGGTACTCTCTTCGGTCCCAAGCTAATCGATTCACCCCTCGAAACATAGGAAAATCCACTAACCCCTCATTTTATCTATCAAACTTTCATAACAAATCAAAACAGACATTGTGTAGTAGAATTTCGACTAGAATGGGCTACGTTAATCGTTTGCTTGGGACCAATAGGCTAGTCAAGTAATGAGCCAATTTAAAATCGTTAGTTTCGTATTGATTGTTGGTAATATCAACAATCAATACGAAACTAACAATTTTAAATTGGCTCACTACTTGACTCGAGGGGTGCGACACATCTAAATCTCGATTTTAAATGGTCGAACAATCTCTCACTAGCGAATCAATTTACGAAAAATCTTTTTTCATCTCTTGCATCAAAACCCATCTACTTGCATCGCTCTCCACCTTTTTGCAAGAAATCTTCAAAATCATAATCAATTGTATTTCTATCTATTAAGCGCGAGTGCATCTTACAACAGCAAAGCAAAAAAATTCCTGCATCTTAGATAGAGTCGCCCCCCTCGACTTGACTAGCCTATTGGTCCCAAGCAAATCGATTAACGGACCCCATTCTAGTCAAAATTCTAGTACTACACAATGTTTATTTTGATTGACTATGAAAGTTTGACAGATAAAATGAGGGGTTAGTTGATTTTCCTATGTTTCGAGGGGTGAATCGATTAGCTTGGGACCGAAGATAGTACCAGAGCTGAGCCAAAAAGTTGAGCACGTTTCTTCGGGACCTACTAGTCTTAGAGTTACCTCTATGGTAATATCATATCGATGTATTTTTGAGTATTTTTATTGCGATATTTTAATTTCGCAATCTCGGGTCAAAGTAGTTTTCATTTACTTATGTGCAATTCTTAGGGAATTTTCCACTAGATTTCTACCCAAAAGTAGGTAAATATGATTATACTCAGCGTTGGGTTCCCACACTTTACTACCCCTGTTGGGTGGTTTTGCTCCTCCGTTTTTGACAACATAACATAAGCGATGGTCCATTAATTATGTCACGCAAATTTGGCCCATTTTCAACCCCCCTCCCCCCTTTGTCACATTTTTTGTATGGACCTTAATTTTTTTTTGTATGGCTCGTAACAGTTTTCAAAACCTCCCTCCCCCCTAAATGTGTGACATAATTAATGGACGACCCCTAAGAAGGAGAAAAGAAGACAAACTAGTCAAAAGCAGGTAAAAGTGAACTTGCCGTTGGGTCCTTTTTTCTTATCGTAGGTGACTAATGTGGCCTCCTTTGTTTCCATGAAAGAACCCGTTAGTTCTAGACCAACAATTGAAATAGGTGGAACAACCAACCGTAAACAATGGCTTTAAACGCAAATTCCTCGAGAATCAAACCACTCCCACGCCAACTACACGCAGAAAAATTGATTTTTGTTTCAAGGCATAATGTATTTTGTTATTGATTCAAATATATTGTATCACTATTTCAACAAAACATATTTTTGAATCAACAAAATGGTTTTTAGAATCAACAAACAGATTATTGACTCTACAACCGGTTTGTTGATTCAAAAATATTTTTCTTTGAATTAACCGCATAATATATTTGAATCAATACCAAAAATATATTAGGCCCTGAGCCAAAACTATATCCATTTGAATTAAAAAATCATTTCTCTTCGTGTAAGTTTGCTCTCGGTTTGCTCTATCAGATAGTGGTGTTAGATTGCGCCGATGTGTTTTGATTATCGAGGAATTTGCGTTTAAAGCCATTCTTTACGTTTGGTTGTTACGCCTATTTCAATTATTGGTCTAAAGTTGTCGTATAAGATATTAACATGAGCCGGAGTAGCGAGGGGATACTGTACTTTTCTAAAACAAGTCACCTTCGTACTTATACACCTCTTGGAGGCGGGCATTAGGGCAACACCGGACGGTGGGCGGGCACTAAGCGCACTTTCAAAAAGCACTCGCTCTGACTGTTCTTCACTCAACAACCGAGCCGAGTCGGCAAAAGTGCCAGTCCGTTTCAGTGTGCCGAAGAAGTAAGTTCAGTTTCTCTGATCCAAACCCTAGTCTGTTCGAATCCGTGGTGCGCGTGAAGAAAGAAGAATCCGGTGTCTGTCTCTCTTTCTCTCTCGCCTCGTAGTAGTTATCTGTCTCTTCTCGCCTGAGGAGCAGCAGGAAGATCAGAAAAGAAGTCAAACAAACAACAAGAAGAATATCCTCTGATCTACACAGTCGGTTAGTTTTTTTTTTTTTTCTTCCCTGGTCACAGTCGAGTGGATAAAAGCACTGCGCTGAAGGAGGAGGAAGGAAAACGCACACATAAAGGCGGAAAAGCGGTTGCGCTATCTCTTTTTGACACGTTTTTAGCGAAGTCAGCGGCGACTCACTGGCAGTCGCTTTTTCGTTCGTGTACGCGGCAGTAATTTTTAATTTTCAATATTTTTCCCAACCGTTCAATAAAAATCGTGGAACTAAATTGTGCTTATCAGGTGCGGTGAGGATTTTATCGGTTGCCGATAAGGGCGTGAAGAATTTCTGGTGATAATAAAAAGAAACAGGGGCTTATCTTCCTCCTTCCCTCAGCGTTGGAATAAAACAGCAGTACATCGTTGAATAAAAGAACAGACAGCGCCCCCTTCCACGATACGCGTGTGTTAAGAATAGCGAAAAGCTCAATTTTGTTCATCCAAAGCAAAAAAAAAAAACCGTCTCAGCAAGTGAAGCCCAACGTCTCTGATTGGAAATTCTGTTCTCTTTTTTTTTTGCAGTTTATTGTTTAAATAAGTGAGAACCAGAAACCGTTCGTGCAAAAATGGTAGGTGAAAGTTTTTCTTCTGTATTTTCAATGTTACTAGCAAATTGGGTGTCTTCGCTCCTGATTGCATGGAGTTATCTCTTTCGCTTCAATAAACACACTTTGCTTCATGCATCGTTAGAAAATGATATGATTTCCGCGTTGGTCGATCAGCTCGATAGGGAACAGCCGGTTTTCGAGCTTTCCGGCGATTAGTTTGAGCCGAGAAAAATTACATGTACTCGTGGATGTGTGTGCCGGGAAGATAAATTTAACCATGACAAAATTTTCGTGCGAAAAACCGCATGCCGTGCCGGCCTATCGAATGAAAAAAAACCAACCCAGTGAAAATGAGAAAAAGAAACGGCGAGCACTCACCATATTGGTGTTCTTTGCTACTCTCTCTTCTTCTCGGTTCCGTTCGTCAGTCAGTCAGTGTTGCTGTCGCGGACCGGGTGCAGTGTGCTGTTTCCCACTCACTACCGGGTGAATGTGTGCGAGCGTTATTTCTGCCCCTTTTGCTCATACACAAATACTATCATCGGGGAAAACTGTGGATAACTTTCAGGTGTAGTGGTACACGAGAATGCATGAATCACACGCAAACACCAAGAGACTGGATCGTTTTACGAGCGATGCATATTAGTTGGGGGGGTGCAACAATGGATTACAGGGAATAAATTTAATCAATTATTTTTGCCTTGCCGTTTTGTCCGGTTTTACAAATACAATTTTGCCAGTCACTTTTGAAAGCCTGCACAGTTTTACAGGCAACTATCTTTGCAGACATTTGATCATAGGTACTTAAGCAAAAATCACAAAATTAATTTTTTCGAAAATGCATCTTGAGTGTTTGCTAGATTGGGGTGGTTTGTTCACGAAAAATTAAGGTTTTCAACATGAAATTTTTAATGGAATTCATTTCTAAACCGGAGAATCAGGGTGTCTATTACCTGGAAATCCTCGAGTTCGCAGGGATTTTTTTCCCTAATTGAAAAATAAAAAAAAAATAAAATAAAAGGTTCTAGAACAAAGTTATTTTTCACAAAATTTTAAACTATTTGATATATATATATATATATATTTTTGAAATTCTGTGATCCAAAAAAAATATTTGGATACATTTTCCAACAGTGTGGGACATAGAATATTTTCCAGGATCACAGATTTGAAAAAAAACATCAAAATAATTTTTAATGCTCATCGAATTTGATGACAATTTATAAGCAAATTGGAGATGGAGAGGAAATTATCAAGTGAAATTTGCTTCCAAGATAGTTGAGGAGACTTGAGTAGAATTTCAAGTACACCCTGAATGGAATTCAAAAGAAATTTTATTGAAAATATATAGACAATTCGAATGAGGAACCCATTGGGAATTCTGAGAATAATTTCATGAAATTTATTTAAAAAAAAAAAATGAATCTGGAGTATAGTTCCATCGAAATTTTGGAGAAAACTTTAGATGTTCGCTAATAAAGAGGGTTATAATTAAATCTGAGACTAAAACCAGGAGAATTTCAAAGGAATTCCAGGAGAGTTCTGCTTACATGAATACCAGACAAATTTTGAGGATAACTGCAAGTGAATTCCTAAGAGACTTTCATACTTGTGACTTGAAATTCAAAGGAAAGGAGTAAAATTCAAAGGGAATTCTGAAATGAATTCAATGAAAATCTTAAGAATAATTTCAAAGCATTTCTTACTGATGAGAATTTCATGCTAATTCTGAGCGAATTGAACTCAGGATAGTTCTAATGAAATGCTCAGGATCATTTGAAGGAAATTTCGAGGAGCATTCCAAGTGAATGCCATGAGAAATACAAATTTAATGCTAGGGAGAAATCCAAGCAAATTTTCAGAGGAAATCACTGGGTAATACTGCAAAAAATATTAATAGTATGAAGAGCACTACAGAGTGAATTCAAATAGATTTTCAAGAGTATTCTGGAGCAAATCATAAGGGAATACTACTAGTAAGAGGAGGTCCTCCCTTAGCTTAGGAGGAGGCTGGATTCAATTCCCGGTGTGGCCTAGCAATTTTTCGGGTTGGAAAACTTCTCGACTCGGAGATAGAGTATGATTGTACTTCCCACACATATATACTAATGCAAAAATGGTACAGGCATCGAAAGCTCTCAATTAATAACTGTGGAAGTGCATCTAGAACAACTAAGTTGAGAGCACGCAATAAGCATGAAATGCGAAGAAGAATATGAACTAAGCAAAGTTAAACAACACAAGGATACGGGTCTGGAATTGAACCCACGACCTTCTGCTCGCTTTCAGAAGTCTAGAGTGTTATAGCTAGTACTATTATAGCAAGTTTTGTCAAGGCATGCACAATCTCAGACGACCGTTGGACGGTCTACTGAAGAAGAGGTCAGCAGAGTGGTAGCAATTTTTTCAACGTTTCAAGCAGTCGAGTTGGTACGATTCTGTTCCATCGATTTCCGGATGGTGCAATGAACGCAATTTGCCATGCTTCCATAATTTTGAAATAAGTAAAAGACGAGGTTCACCCAGGGAGAAAAAGAAGCATTGTCACTGACATTTGCTACAAACCACTAGTCTCCATTTTTGGACCCAAGTACGTCTTGATAAGATGGGTATTGCAGTTCATACTCCAAATCGACTTCAACTGTGGGTCTTAGCGAAAACAACAAATCAAGAAGATTGGCAACTTAGCCAGAAGCCAAGCGACAGATACAATGGCACTGCGCTTGAGTGAAGGTGGAAGCAAATACACAAACCCTTTTTCTAAGGATGTAATCTTTGTTATCAAATTCGTTCGAAGCATTTACCTTTGAGCGGCAGATGACGCGATTGTACCTGTCTCATAGCGTTCGTATGAGAAAATGGAAGAGTTGCCAGTCTTCTTGATTTGTTGTCTTCGGTCTTAGCGATGTTACTGTACAACTTGGTTAGGGGTCAACCAATTTGTTTTTCTATGCGGATTTTTTTTTATCAAGGTTAGGCAAACACTCACTTGGAAGCCAGCTTCAAGAGCATGCAATCGGAATATCCAATTTTCGCAAACCATTCTGGACTGACGATATCCCGTTCGAGTCAAGCCAGTTTGCGGCGTTTTGTTAACAAATTATCTACCTCATCAGAACTTTGGGTAAATTATAAGTATTAGTGCAAGAAAACCTTTGGATTTACCAAAAGTTCTGCACTAATACTTGTGCAATTCACAAACACCAGAGAAGTCTATGGTCTGCGCTTATTAGCCATCAGATGTCACTACTGTTGTTTGTAACGACATTGTCCGAAATTACGCATAAACTGCTTTCCGTAAGTTGTTTGCAGAGAACAGTGGTTTCGACAATCCTAGAAAGTCCTTTAATGGGGTGGGGTTTAGAAAGTATGTTTTGTTCCGAGGAACTTGGGATGTTAATCTTACCGCATAAATAACGGTACCAACATCCTTTTCAGTACCAGGTACTTTATTAAGATGTCTGTGAGAGAGAAAACACATGAGATGTAGAGAAATTGAGCTTGTGAGAGACAAAGTAGTTTACTCTCTTGGTAGTAAGGTTGAAAGTAAACGGTACACACTTAATTTTTTTCGCCGAGATTCCAACAGCCGAGTAGTTCTGCAATTTATTTTGCTGAGATTCGGTAAAACAGTTGCAGAGAATAAGCTAGCACATAAAATTTTGCTGAGATCTCAGCTAACAAACACATATTTTGTTGAGTTATCAGTAAAAGTAAATTCCGAGGTAATCGGCTGTTGGAAATTTTACTGAGCTAGATTAAGTGTGTATGGGGATCAACTGTTTTATTGATTTTACAGTAAATTAATGAGTCAATGTTAAAGTTAAAGTTCCGAGCAGGTAGATATTTACCATCACGTGAATTCTTGATTAGTGCTTGGAATTATTGGAAATAATTGATTTTCTCTCTACTCCCATACTGAATTTCAACGATGTCTACCAAAGATACAGCGTCATCTTTGGCAATAGGCCGGCGCCGGTGGTGTAGTGGTAAGCGTGACTGCTTTCTAACACCCCAATGGGTCTGGGTTCAATCCCAGCCGAGGTCGGTGGGATTTTTCTGAGGCATAAAAATCTCTGATTACGTCTTCCTTCGGAAGGGAAGTAAAGCCGTTGGTCCCGGCCCATGTGTGTTGAATGGGTGCGATATCCTACGCAGGTGTGGAAGCTGTCTTCCTGCACATTCGATTCCCGTCATTGGATGGCAATCGATGTTCGTCGGTGATTGGCACTAGATTGCGGAACAGAGACCGACGTTAAATAAAGGAATGAAGATCTTTGGCAATATTTTTTTTAAGGAAATCACTTAATTCCGCTGTATCATCTGCAATCTAATGGTCAAGTGAAGAGATTAGTGGGCAAGTTGAAATGCGGTCTGAAAAAAGATGGAGGGCTAAAAAAAAATAGTAGAAGAAGCACTTGGAACGCTTCAAAGTTTCACATCAAACAAGTTTATTCCCGATGGTAAGTCGCCAGTGGATGGAGGCGAACCAGCCCAAGGCTGAAAGCCTCCCTAATAAAGATAAATAATAATAATAATAGTCGCCAGTGGAAGCAATGTTGGGAAGAAAGACTCGAACAACTTTGGATATGCTCAAGCAACCGCAATGCGAATTGCTCCAGATCAATCACAAGAAGAATTATCAGACGACGTCTCAATATAAGACGACCGGCTGCAACCGCTCCAGTGAAATAAACCAGTTTCCGAGGTATTCTTGTTTTCCTGAAGGTTTACATGATCTTCTAAAGGGGGAAGATCTTGGCGGGACACGGCATACCAGTTTCTATTGATTGTTCCTAACGACTGGAATATACCAGTTCATTAAGTTTTTCAGTCACAAGACGTGTACTCTGAAATATAACACTTTCCAAAGGATTTCTGCAGCACGCAGGAGAAGACTATAGAGAAACTTAAGCACTATTCGTACAGAATCTAAAAAAATTATACACACAGAGTTTAGATTACCGAAGTCGGTAAAATTTTACTGGGTTTTTAAACAGCTGAGTTTTCAGTAATCAACT